AGGTCAACAAATGACCTTGACTTTGATAGAAGTTATGACGTCACAGACATTTCCGTCTTACAGTCTGGCCGGCGGAAATGACGTCAGTGAGGCTGGAGATGGTGGCGGTGTGGTCATTCAGACGTCTGATAATTTTGATGATGGAGTGGGTGAAGTTTTACTCATTTTAATTATTGAATTTTTTTTAAATATTAGAAAGGTCAGGCTGGGAATTGGTTCGATTGTTTGGCGTAACTTTTTATTTGTTTCATGATTTCATAACTCGATAACTTGAAATCGCAAGTCGAAACAAATGAAATATTTCAACGAACGCAGAGAGGAACCAAATAAAATTAAAAAATAAATTGTAGAAAAACAACAACAGCAAAAACAGCAAACAACAACAACAAAAACAGCAAACAACAACAACAAAAACAGCAAACAACAACAACAACAAAAACAGCAAACAACAACAGACAACAACAACAACAAACGACAACAACAAACAACAACACACCCACCCACCAATATAAACAGCATCTCAACAGTAACCAGCCATGCATGAAATATGGTATCGTTAAAGAAGTGGACCGTGACGATAGTGACCACGTGACGATTTGTGGTCTAACTACTGCCCACAATCACTACCCATCTATCGCTCAGCGTCGGAGGGTTATTTATAAGTCTCGGGGTCATGCCCTCGAGGTCATAGTTCAAAGTCATGTCCAGAGGTTCCTGTTGCATTTTCAAGGTTGGCAAATTGGCAAAACATCATTCAGTAGATGAATTCATTATAATCCAGAGTTCGTTCATCTCCACATTTCCATAATCAGCCACAGGGTGTCCAATATTAGCCGCGCCGGCAAACGGATGGGCGGAAATGGAAAGTAGGGATGTGCTAGTAACCGGTTGCAACAATACGAATAGTCGTCGAGTACATCGGTGCGTCGGTAACACTTGGACCGATGGTGACGTCATCAATTGTCCTGAGTCCCCTGGTACGTTATGAATGCATGCATGCATGTGATGCATTAGAAGCCAGGCATTTAATTGTTATGAGGCTCTTTGTATCGATGTTTATGTATGTGTTTGTTTGTTTGTCTGCATGCATGTGTTTGTTTGTTTGCATGTATGTGCGTGTGTGCATGTGTTTGTTTGTACGTATGTGTGCAAGATTTTTAATTTTTAAGTTTTTAAGTGTTCATGTCTAATGTTTTGTATTTAAAAACGAGTATATAATTTGTTGTAAAGTGTTTGCTAGGGAATAGTGCTACTAAGTTAGTAACTGGTAAAGAGCAACTTGCAGATGTGTACTTTGTGATGATATGGCTAGGCTATGCATTTGCTAGATGGAGCGTTGAAGCCCAAAAAGAAACAATTAGTTGTCGTAAAACAGTCGTGAATATTTGTCAATTTCTCATCTATGTTATGTTTTCACGCATGAAGTTGTTTGTCTGTTTGTTTGTTTGCTTGCTTGCTTGTCTGTCTGTTCATTTGTTTGTTTGTTCTCATTCTTATACGAGTCATTCACCGGTTTTGAAAACTTATATTTCAGTGCAAAGACGCCCCCTACACGTCATTAAAAATGCGCTCAATTTTTCGTATACAAAAAAAAATTGAGAGGCGAAAACATTGACACCTACCATATGCACATGCACGTTCTCAAAAAAACAAATCAACAACAACAACAACATCAACAACAACAACAACATCATCAACAACAACAACAACATCATCAACAACAGCATCATCAACAACAACATCAACAACGACAAAAAAACAACAATTAACGTAATAAAATCTGCTAAACTATCAACACAAATGCATACATACCTACGTACATACATCCATCCATACATATATACATACATACATACATACATACATACATACATATATACATACATACATACATACAAACATACATACATACAGACATACACACACACACATACAAGCGTACACACCCTTCTTTATACACAGGGGGCTTTAAATCATATTCCTGGTCCAGTGCAAGCGAAGAATGGTCATCGCCTTTAGGTTTGTGTACGTGTTTTGTGGGTGTATGTGTGTTTGTTTGTGCGTATGTGTGTATGTGTGAATACGTTTGCATATCTGCAAATATTTACGCTTTTTAGGAAGTTAAATTAAGTGCGAACATTCATTTGTGTGTGGCGTGTGTATGGTTAGTTATGTATGTATGAATCTTGTATGTACGAATGTATGTATTTTTTTTTGTATGTATGTATGTATGTATTAAGAATGTATGTATTATGTATGTATGTTTATGTGCATGTATGTACGTACGTTCGTATGTTTGTGAGTATATTTTAATATTAGACTTCAAGCTGATAGAAACATAACAACAATAACATCAACAATAAACAACATCATCATCATCAACAACAACATCATCAACAACAACAACAACATCAACAACAACACCAACAACAACAACAAACACCAACAACAGCAACAACAACATCTACACAGGCATCTTGTTCGTATCAGCCATTGGAGTTAGTCTCGGGCTTGTAATAGGGGTCTCGCTACTATTCATCGTCGTCGTCTGTTTAAAACGGTTTCAACATAATTTTTTAAAATTTCTTTTATATTTATTGTTATTATTGTTATTATTTTTATTACTATTATTATTACCACCATCGTCGTTATCGTCTTCATCATTATTTCCAGCCACTTTTTAATTTATTAATTTATTCACGCAGCTACAGAGTCCCGCCCCCTCCGTCATCGTTACGTCATCCAGCTGTCAGCTACGATCCGGCTAACCAATTGGAAGACATATATCAACATCATTACCACCATCAACATCTTCAGCAGCAGCAGCAGCAGCAGTCGCAGCTTGATAGTCCGCTCTTTAGCAATCAGCTGATCTCACATCAGACGGCTTTCAACCAATCGGCTAACGGGGCAGATTATGGTCCGGCCAATAGTTTAATGTCTTTCAAACAAGCCCTGCCTACCTCGAAATTTGAAATGATTCCTATGGTCTGCTTTTTTTTAATGTTTAACGATTATTAATTATTTAATCAAAATAATTGTAGCTAAAAATTTTTGTTTGAAACATTTTTTTAAATATTAGTAATTAATTGAGAAAAAAAATATTAAAACCATCAAAAAAGACTGCAACAATGAAAACGTTTCCCGCGCCATCCTCTGCAAATATGACGTCACAACATTCACCGATGACGACAACAAAAATGGCAAACAACAACAACAACAACAACAACAGCAACAACAACAGCAGCAGCAGCGGCAAGCAGATACATTGCAGCTGCGATCTCGACGTCATAGCTTCCATCAATGACGTCATACCGAATTGCCGCCATTTTGAATCCTGGGGTGAGATCGAGTTAGCGGATAAGGCCAACCTAACCAATAAGAACATCGCTAAGATCGTGACGTCATACGATCATATATCCGTTACCTGATTGGTTGATTTTGAATGGTTGGGCGTTGGGTTTTTGTTTTGTCGGTGAGTTTTTCAGTTGACTGCTAACTTAATTTTGAAGTGAATGGCTGGTTGATTGATCGATTGACTGATTGGTCAACTTATTGATAGGTTGATTGATTGATTGATTGTATGATTAATTGATTGATTGATTTATTTATTTATTTGTTTAGTAACTAGAAAGTATATATTAGCCACGTAATTAATATGAATTTAATACGAAGGGACCATCATCATGACGACACTTGTGAAATTTTACACCAGACAATCTCACGTAAACATTTCTGTCAATCATTCGATATATCAAACATTCGTTATAATCAGCCCATTCCGTATAACGAACATTCACGTTTGTCGATGTTCGTTATAAACAAGCAACTGCTCAACGACTTACTAATTTATAGAAAATAATTTGTTTTTAATGTTTTAATCGTTCAATAATAATTTTCATATTCGAAATTTTTGTTCCGAACAAAATTATTGGAATTATAATATTGATATAATTAATAATATTCTTATTATTAATAATATTATTATTATTATTATTATAATTATTTATTCATTCAGCTATTAACATGTTGTTTGTAAATCCGTTTGTATAGTGAATTTGTATTTTTAAAGTCATGTAGGAATGTATGTGTGTGTGTGTATGTGTGTGTGTGCGTGTGTCTGTGTGTGTGTGTGTGTGTGTGTGTGTGTGTGTGTGTGTGTGTGTGCTAAATCCTGAGTTGATTTTTTTTCAAAGTTTTGTTAAAATTACTCTATAATAAAAACGAATGATAGAATTTTATTCAATAGTAATATATATATTCGTACAGATATACACACATACATTCAAACATACATTCATACATACACACACACACAACCACACACACGTGCATACACACACACACGTGCATACACACACATACACCTACATACATATACACATACCTAATTATACATTGTTGGAGTAATTGTTCCGAAATTTTTGAAATTTATAAATAAAAATGAACATCAACAGAGTTAAAAAAAAGAGAATATAATTAAAAGAGAAATCGTTGAATACAACACAACAGCAGTGCAAAGTAATAATGATGACAATATAAATATATGTAAAAAACACTATGTGGCAAGATAATGTAGATTTTGTATATGTGTCTACAAACATACATACATACATGCATGCATGCATACATACATAAATACATACATACATGCGTACACACATACATACGTAGATACATACACACACACACACAAACACAAACACATATACATACAAACATGCGTAATATAGGCAAGATGTGGATGAAAAAATACCCAGTATATTTTATGAAAAATAAAAATGTATATCTAATACTTATTGTAATATATATATATATATATATATATATATATATATATATATAGAAAGAGAAAAAGGAAGAGAGAATGAGAGAGAAAGAGAAAGAAAGAGAGAGAGAGAATAACATTGATATAAAATAAATAAAAACCGATTCTTTCGTGTTTTCAACATTCAATTTTCATTTTCTCGTTATTCGTTGATAATAACGATAATATCAACAGGTATATTATTGATAATATTATTGTTGTTATTATCATCGTCGTTATTATTATTATTATTATTACTAGAACTTCTACAAATACTACGACTACAAAAATTTACGTAAATCATACAACACGAAAAGAGACAACGAAACTCATGACCAACTGTTAGCAGGGAAGAACGGATAGAATTAAATCAAACAAGATTAGAATCTAACAAACAAACGAACAAACTTACAATCATACATACATCGAACGAGCGAACGAACGTACGTGATGAACGTTTATCATAACGAAATTGAAAAAAAAAACACTTAAAGACTTTTCTAATTCACGAATTTTTGATGAAATTCTCTTTGAAATGTATGAATGAATGATTGAATGAATGAATGAATGAATGAATGAATGAATGAATGAACGAACGAACGAACGAACGAATGAATGAACAAATGACAAACTTAACGAGCGAATAAAACAACATAAGGATGAACAACTAAAATATAAACATAATTTATGACCAGACTGTTATTTTTATTGGAACTACGAAATCACGAACATATCATTATAATTACAACTAATGAATCGAATTTGAAAGAAAAAAAGATTTAGAATCACAGTTTTTATAAGTATATGTGTGTGTAACTGTGAATATGTGTGTATATATGTGTGTGAGTGTGTATTTGTGTGAGTGATTAAGCGCATATATTTGTGCATGTGTACTTAATCAAAATTTGTATGTATGTACATATTTATTTCATTTTTCAACGGTAGCAAATAATACAACTTTGATACAAATAAATGAATTTTCGCAAATGTTGAAAGTAGTAATTCGAATACCATTCACCTTGGAAAAATTACTGAAAGAATTTACTGAAAGTATTCAGGTACTACTTCTGCTAAATTTTTTATTACTATTTATAATGTCATATCTAGTGGCGACAAATCAGAATAACATGTCCCCTACATGTTATACAAACCAAAAGTTACAATTTTCTACTAACAAACTCGAATCAAATCTAGATACAAATGTATCTAGATACATATTGTATCTAGATACAAATCTAGATAAAATACACGGACACATACACACATAACCGCACACACTTGTACACACACAAACATTCTCATACATATGCATACACACACATACAAATATATACATATTTTTCTTTATACATACACACGCATGCAGACGTTGTGTCTGCTGTAACGCACGTGAAAAAAAGCACGTACGTAGAGATACATTTTCGCGTGTTAATATATTTTGTATTTTTGACCGATCTGCTGTACGATGACATCATTGTTATAATAAGCTTCATTTCCGCCTTCTTCATCGTCATCATCTTCTACGATGTCGTCATCATCGTTAATGAGGAGGGCGGAAAATTTATTGCTGGCTGGGTTTGTTGTTGATGTTGTTGTTGATGTAAGCGAGGGTTGTTGTTGTTGCTGTTGTTGTTGTTGTTGTGAGGAAAGTAACGATATTGTTGTTATCTTCGAATACTTGCTTTTCGTTTTAGGCTTGTTTGTCTTCATTACGCTGATACTTTTGTTATTGTTGTTAATGTTGTTGTTAGTGTTTTTAATATTGTTATTTACGTTGTTGTTGTTGTTGTTTAGTCGGTAACTAGTCGAATCGAATGTGTTGTTCGCGAGGTTCGTATAAATGACGTCATTGTTGACGTCATCGCTCGGAAGGAAATTGCTGCTGTTGTGTTTGTGACTGATTTTGTTGGTGCTGTTGATGACGTTGCTGTGAGCGTAAATGTTATGTGAATTGTAGAGGACATTAATGTTTTGAGCTGCACTGCTAGCATTACACTGACCCATGTGTTGAGATTTTGGTCTTGTACGACCATGTTGATGCAGTTGTGGCTGTAGTTGTGGCTGTAAAAACGGTGGTTGTTGTAGTTGTGGCTGTAAAAACTGTGATTGTTGTAGTTGTGGTTGTAGTTGTGATTGTGAAAACTGTGATTGTTGTAGTTGTGGTTGTTGTTGGGATTGTGAAAACTGTGATTGTTGTAGTTGCGGCTGTTGTTGTAATGAAATTTGTTGTTGTTGTTGTTGGTTTTCAGTAGATGCAACAGAAATATCAGAAAGTGAGGCCACTTTGCTATAATAATCGTTAGACGGCGACTGAGTTCGAAATGTTGACGACTGGATGTTGTTGCTGTTGTTGTTGTTGTTGTTGCAGTTTGAAACTTTGTTGGGCGATAGGCTGATGAAGCTGCTGTTATTAAGTTCATGATAAACTGCGTTTGATGGCGTGTAGCTGCATGCAATGTAGGCAGGTTGTAGTGGTTGCTGAGACTGTTGCTGATACGATTTTAGTTGCGGGAACTGTTGCGATGGTAATTGATGTTGCTGCAGTAATTGTTGCGGCTGTTGTGGTTGCAATTGTTGCTGAAGCCAATAATTTTGTTGATTAATGGGTGGTGTGATGTTGTTGTCAACATTTTGAAAAGTGTTGTCGTGCGTTGTTGTTGCTGACGATTTGTTAGTCGATGCCGTCGATGAGTTTGTCGCTGTCGTCGTTGTGGCCACGTTCATTGTGGCAGCCGCTAAGTTTACAATTCCTTGTGAAAGAATTATTTCTTTCGAATAGATAAAATGAATCAAAGTTCATGCTGTTTTCAAAATTTCAAATGAAAAAAAATTCACAAAGAAATTTGAAGAATGAAAAATAATACATGTATAAAAAGTAATCCTTCACAAAACGACTTAACTACCATTAAACTATAGTTCAATTCCTGAACATTCATAATATATCTTTAATTAAAGAAATTAAATTAGGAAACGTATTAAAATGATTCACCTTTAACTTGCGTATTGCAAACCACATTATTGAAATGTTGTTGTTGTTGTTGTAGTTGTTGCTTCTGGTCGTTTACACATGCTAGCGACGTATTATTAATCTGGCAGATGTTTTTGTTGTTGTTGTTGTTGCTGCTGTTGTTGTTGTTGCAGCTGCTGAAACTGTTAAGACCTGCCATTTTATTTTGAAGTTTTGTAAGTTCAGTTGGTGACGTTTGTTTTTGCT